CACACACACACACACACACACACACACACACACACACACACACACACACACACACACACACACATACAGTAGGGAGGCAAAGATGAGGATTGTTTGGCTGTCAGTGTCCTGCTGCCACACCAGCTGGACTCTGCCTCAGAGTGACACCCAAACTAACAAACACACCAAGTGACCCAGAACAGTCTGCCTCTGTGCATGTGTGCTCGTAACCACATGATGATGTTCCTGTGTTTGTGTGCGTGCGCCTGTGTTTATCTGTCGGTTAGAGACCAACACAACTTCCAAAATGAGCTTCATCCAGTGTGGCTGGTGCCAGCAGAGTCATCATCTCACTACACAAAAGCCCAAACATGCACACAAACACACACATACACAGTTGTCCAAAGCATTAACAGCATCACGAGCCAGGCATCAAACAAGCTTCTCATACTAAGATGGCTCACTTTGTCTGTGTTTGAGGTACTGCCCATCGAAGATTTCTTCACATGTAGAGATCTCTCACTGTGCCTTCGTGTGATGCTGTGCCCAATTTTTCATCTGCTGCCTCACTAAGAAATCCTGCCTCAGAGCCTCTTTGTCTGTTACCGTCTTCCTTTCAAAGTCCAAGGGAGTGACATGGACAATTTGTTACACTGCATACAGACATTCTTTCACATACCCATACACATTATGTACACTTGATACACCTAAGAACCTATAAAGGAAATAAACTCCCCGATACTAAATCCATAGATTTCCATCAGAACCATTATCTGCTCTTATTAGCTGCCAACTTTAATGACTTGGGCAGTTTTCTCAAGAATTGTCATCTCACTGATGTAAATACTGTAGTCAGTATTTCAATGTTGAAATGAAAAATTTATTTCAGCTGACTTATAATTCAGAAGTTTGTCTTCCTTTTTAAAAGTTTTTCTTCTGAATTCTTCTGTGGACTTGATTCCCTCCTGCCATGGTTTTCTGAATGTGCCTCATTTGTCTCCATCTCTCATGAAACTTTATCAGACCCAGGCTCTGATCATAATTCCCTATTTTTGTTTCCTTTCTTCAGTTTTCATGTCTTTATATTGGAAGAAAAACTTGCAAATCTGAAAATGGTCAATATTAAAATTAATGTAAATTCCAGGAACTTGTCATCAGGGATACTCGTAACATTCTGCAACGGGCCTACTTATGTAAACAGACAGGAGACTAGGACCCAGTCAATAACAAACAATATTCATTAGGCAAGCAAACAAATATTTCAATGATTTGTTTTATTTTTCGCAATAGTAATAAATAATGTGTTAATGGCATTACTCTGGTAAAGTGTAATATCAGCATTAAATAGTTGTAAAAACCTATATTATTATTTATGTTAAATCTGCTTATTTCCCTTCAGATTGAAAAGCTGTCTAAGGATTTGGAAGAGGCAAAAACTAAGGTGATCACTGTTACCGTTCCTGTGCCAACACCTGTATTTCCCCCTCCGCCACCTCCTCCTCCACTCCCAGGCCAAAATGTAGGTATACCTCCACCTCCACCACCTCTACCAGGCCATGCAAACGTACCTGTTCCCCAAGCCCCGCAGGGTCCTCCTTTACCGGGTCATGCTGGTATTCCTCCACCTCCACCTCCTTTACCTGGCATGCCAGGACCCCCACCACCTCCACCCCTCCCTGGCATGCCAGGACCCCCACCACCTCCACCCCTCCCTGGCATGCCAGGACCACCACCACCTCCACCGCTCCCTGGCATGGCAGGACCACCACCACCACCACCACCTGGAGGTCCTGGTATTCCTCCTCCACCCCCAGGTCCAGGGATGCCTCCACCTCCACCATTTGCCATGGGGGGCTGGGGTGCCCCTGCACCACCAGCACTGCCATTTGGGCTCAAGCCTAAGAAGGAGTACAAGCCTGAGGTTCAGTTGAAGAGAGCCAACTGGAGTAAGGTCAGTCTTACAGCAGTTAACTCTGTTTTTAATTTTTAATTTTCCGTCACCTATGTCATACTGCAAATTTTGAGTAAAAGGCAATGCAGGTGCTTTTTCACACTTTTTTTTTCATTGTAAATGAACCAGGATGACTCAAAATACAAGTTAAAGCGTGGGTAATTCCTTCCACATATGTTTGAATATGGCCCAAAAAATGAAGCACAATTGAAGAAGTTGTCTTTGCTTTTGATCATCATCTTCTGTCTTGATGCCAAAAATCATGCCAATTTTCAAAATGTGTTGCTTGTCAGCTAACATAACATGCTGTTATTCAGCTCCTCATTATCACACAAACTGCTTGAGTAAAAATGGGCAGGGAATCTAAATAATTCAGTTTGTATGTCACAGCGTGCAAAAAATGAAAAGTGGAGCTTAAACAGCGGGATCTTGACCTAAAGTGACTTTCATTCATACGTGTATCTCATGCCTATGTGCCTCATGTTCTTCTCCTCCCTCTCATCTGTGATGGTTAAAACATCAAAACGGCCCTCTGTCTTTCTTTAGCCTAAAGCTACTGTTTAATGGCTTCAACAGACTTCATCAGCATTTAGCTTCTCTCTCTCTTCCTCGCTCTCTCTCCCTCGCTTTCTCTCTGGTGAGAGTGTTTGACGAGGATGTCACAGAAATTGCTTTTTAATAAGCCTTCTTCTTTTAACTGCACCACTGAAAGATAATTAAATTGCTGCTAGAAAGGACAGTATTCTTTTGTAATTTAAATTAACTTTTTTTTCCAGGCTTGGTCTCATCCTCTTCTTTGCATGCTCTCTTGCTTTCTTTCTTGCTCCTTAAGCTCATCCCCATATCACATTTCCCTTCCTTACTGTCTTTTCTGTCCTATACCCATCCTTGAGGCTTTGTCCATAATGAAAGGCCTGATATCTGTAAATTTACTACCACTTTTTCTCACTTGCTCTCCATTTCCCTTTTTCTCTTTCTCTTTTTTAATAAGAGCGTTTAGAAAGTGAAGAAAATGTATGCACAGTTAATTGTGAGAAAGCACCAAATGGAGGAGGGAAAAAGTAGAAGTCTTTGCATTTTTGGTGCACAAGGCTCTGAAGCTATAGATGCTTTGTTGTCAAGACAGTGTGGGACGATTAACGAAAATGAGTACTTACTTGCCCTTTGTCTTTCTTCCTTTCTCCTCTTCTCCCTCTGTTTTCACACTACTGCCGCTTCCTTTTCTTCTAATGAGCTTCTTTATCTGCTCATTGTTCACAAGGTGCATAGATGACCAATTTCTGTCATTATCTAACACAACTAATTTGTTACTCATTTAGTAGCTCTCTGTCTTTCACACCTTAAATATGACCCCTTCCTCTTTTAGATCGGACCTGAGGACCTCTCAGAAAATAGCTTCTGGATCAAGGCGAAAGAAGACCAATTTGAAAATAACGAACTCTTTGCCAAACTTACCTTAACGTTTTCTTCGCAGACAAAAAGTAAGTGTGTGACTTGTCTTTTTAACTGCTCACTTTTATCATATTGTGTTTCATAATAATGAACAATGCCTTACTTTGCTTCTCTCCCCTCCCACGTCTGCCCCCTATCTAATGGGCTTCATGTCTATTTTGATCTTCCTGCTCTGCTTCCATCAGCCACCAAAGGTAAGAATAACAGATGCACACTTCCATTTTTCTTTTAGTCCTTTCTTCATACATCTTGTCCAGTGTTTCTCACCTTTTCTTTTTCTCCTTGGAGGAAACACTGCACATATATTATTCATAAATGCCATGTCAAAACAGCATCTCACATTAGTTCATGAATAAACCAATCACACGTTTATCTGTATATGTGTTCATCTCCCCAACGTGCCCGTGACTTGTTTTGTTGAGACTCGCTACTGGGTGAGATGCATTGGTACTTGGAGTCATAGAGGGAGATGAACAAAGGGAGAAATAAGGAGAAGGTCACTGATGTCCTTTGACTTGCCACCTGCTGTCCTGGCACAAAGCGCTGACACATGGGTGTACACACACCTGTCCACTCCTATCACCTTGTCCCAGTGTCACAGAGCCTTCTGGTCCAACTCCTCCATATTCAAATCATAACCAAGACACCCAGAACTCCCAGACAGTATGTGCTGTGTGTTTAAGGCCGTCTGACCTTCACATTCAGTCTGAGCACATGTCAAATACTCACACACGCGCACATGCACATGCGCTTGCTCACATCATATACATAAACAGGAGCGTCCTTGCACGCTTGGCTGATGCTAGCTCATGATGTGGCTTAAATGTCAGCGTTGGCAGCTGTCCCATCTGCATTCACCTGTATGGCAAGTTCTAACGCCTGCCTGTCACTCCATAATTTGACCCCTCCCCAACTCACTTTGGCCCATGCGCCCATGCCTCCTCTTCTTATTGGCCAAGACAGCCGCCTGTTCTGGATGATGTCTAATAACCTTTTCTGAGTCCTGTGTATAAAGACACCATGGCCTTTACATAGCCACACACCTGTCTGTATGTCTGCCTGTGTGGGTGAGGGGTGGGGAGTTGTTGATTTCCTGGGCGTGTTTTGATAGTTGTGAATAAAACATTAATTGGCACTAAATTGGGAATTTGTGTGCCCTTTCAATCAATTTATTCTGTGCTGTTTCTTTTCCATATATGTTTGTGTATTTGTCATAGCACATGCCTATCAGTATCACACAACCAACTTAGTGGTCATGTAAATAATCTTCACTCCTTGTCCTTCTTTCGCTTGCTTAAATACACCCCTCAAGATCGACATTCCTTTTGACCTCACCCTTCTTACCCTTTACCTCTGAGACCGCAGATTCACTCTTCCTCATCTGCCTCTCCTTCCTCCTCCTGTGCCGCCCATTCCTCGTTAGCCACTAAAAACTGACTGACACTACACTGAGCCACCACTGACCCTCTCTGACCCTTTTCTCCATCAGCTGCCCAGCAGCTGGATTTTGCAAGCACACAGACACCCACACAGGAAAAACAACACAGGGAGGCGGGTAGTGTGCTCAGGGCAGGGTCAGAGGTGTTGACCTCTGCTGCATGCTCGAAGAGCAGAGAGCTGATGGTGGGACACACGCCCACTGGCTGCACACAGCTCTCATGGACAAAATTCAACACTTTCACACACTCATGCTCTTTAACACAGTTGTGTATCCATGACTTTAGAGGACATTACACAAACTAGCATTTATTTCCAGGAGATTTACTCTATGCTTAAGCATTAGTGCTACTTGTCTAACCTTACCCAAAATCCTATCATACACCTAAGCTCAACACGACTTCACCCTAAGATTTAATGCTTTAAAATATGGCAACTAGGGTTTTTTTTTGTTGTTGTTGTTTTTGGGTTTTTTTTACATCCATAACGCACGAGAACAGATTTAGCTCACCTATAAATTGTTTTGTCTGGACAGAGATATGGAAATGTAATTAAACTTTTGATGTTTTCCCTGTTTGTTCTCTATATATCTGTTTACTCGCATTGAAAACAGGGTGAAGTTCAGTAAATCAGCTTAGGACTGTTATCAGTCTTCTTTCTCTTCAGATACTGAATGTCAGAATTTAACTAAATATATGCCACAATGCTGCACAAATTTCAGAGATAAGCGAAGACTTCGTGGTCTAGATCAGGTGATGTGATCTTAATTGTCCACTTTAAATGGATTTTGCTGCAGCAGTATCAGTTATGTTACAATTTATCTGCAGCTAAAGGTAGTTTAAGTGTTTGAGATGATGCAGTGCCTGATATTATGGTTCGAGGTACATTTAAAGTAACTGGTGTCTTTGTTTCACTAAGAATGCATTCTGCACTTTATCATGTAACTATGGAGTTTGGCTGATCTTGGTACGAGACACTTCACTGTTACATTGTACAGCTTGACATTGATTTTTGTAAGCTTTATTTAGAATACTGACC